GAGGGAGGAGGGGACGGGTATATGCATACACAAAGAGTGCAATGCGCACCACCCGAAGGATGGACATATTTGAAACTCGGACTTGGCGGGGGGGGCGGGCAAGGGCAACATACGTAACCTAAACATCTGTACCCCTACAATATGCTGAAATTGAAAAAAAAAAAAAAAAGTAAATAGCAGCCATGCACCTTGGTATTTACCAAAATGAGTGGAAAATGTATGTCCACACAAAAGCTGCCTGCAGATGTTTTCAGCAACTTTATTGTTAATTTCAAAAACTTAGATGTAACCAAAATGTACTTCAGAAGGTGAATGGATAAACTATGGTATATCCAGTCAAGGGAGTATTATTCAGAGCTACAAGGAAATGAGGCATCATCCATGAAAAGACATGGAAGAATCTTAAATGCGTATTAATAAGTGAAAGAAGCCTATCTGAAAAGGCTACATCGTGTAGAATTCCAAAAATATGGCATTCTGGAAAAGGCAAAACTATGGAGACAGTAAAAGGAGTAGTGATTGCCAGGGGTTGTGCCAGGAGTGTGGATGAAAAAGCTGAGCACAGAGGATCTTTAGGGCACTGAAATTATTCTGCATGATACCATAACAGTGGATACATGTCATTATACATTTTTCAAAACCCATCGAATGTGCAACACCAAGAATGAACTCTAATGGAAGCTACGGACTTTGAGTAATAATGATGTGTTACTGTAGGTTTGTTGATTGTAACAATTGTACCACTCTGGTGGGGGATGTCCATAATACAGGAGGTACAGGAGGTTGCACATGTGTAGTGTGCAGGAGATATAGGTACTTTCTGCTCAGTTTTACTGTGACCCTAAAGTGTTCTAAAAAATAAACTTTATTCACATACAAAATAAATAATAAGTTCAGCAAGGTTACTAGACTCTAGATCAATATACAAAAATCGACTGTATTTCTATACACTTGGAATGAACGTATCAACAAAGAAACAACTGCATTTATAATAGCATCAAAAAGAATATGCAAGCTGGGCATTAAAGGCACATGCCTGTAGTTCCAGTTACTTGGAGGGCTGAAGTGGGAGGATAGCTTGAGCCCAGAAATTTGAGGCCAGCCTGGGCAACATAGCAAGACCCTGTCTCTAAAAAATAACAAAAACAAAAAAAGTAGGAATAAATTTAACAAAAAAATGCAAAATGTATACTCTGAAAAGCACAAAACATTGTTAAAAGAAATAGAAGATCTAAATAAATGGAAAAACATCCCATGTTCGTGGATCAGAAGACTTAAAACTATTAAGATGGCAATACTCCCCAAATTGATCTATAGATTCAATGCCACCCTATCAGAATCTTAGCTGACTCCCTAGTGAAACTGACAATCTGATTCTAAAATTCATTTTTCAAGGGACTTAGAATAGCCAAAATAATCTTAAAAGAAAAAGTAGGAGGACTCACATTTCCCAATTTCCAAATTTATAAAAAAAGTAGACATATAGTCCAATGGAATAGAATTTAGAGTCCAGAAATAAACCCCAGTGTCTATGGCTATGATCACCTAATTTTTGATGAAGGTGCCAAGACCATTCAGTCAGGGAAAAAACGGTCTTTTCAACAATGGTGCTGGGACAACTACATAGCCACATACAAAAGAATGAAGTTGGACTTCTAGCTCATAAGAAAATTATTCAAAATGGATGAAAGACCTAACTGTATCAGTAAAACTATAAACCTCAAAAGAAAACATAGGGATAAATCTTCATGATCTTGGATTTGGCAATGGATTCTTAGATATGACACCCAAAGCACAAGCAACAAACTAAAACAGGTCACTGGTCTTCACCAAAATTTAAAACTTTCATGCTTCAAACAACACTGTCAAGTAAGTGACATGTTAATGTACAGAATAGGAGAAAATACTTGCAAATCACATACTGACAAGGTAGTTGCACCCAGGATATATAAAGAACTCCAACAACTTAATAATAAACAGACAAATAACCCGGTTAAAAAATGGGGAAAAGATTTAAACAGGTAATTCTTCAAAGAAGATATACTAATACAAATGGCTAGTAAGCACATGAAAAGATGCTTGACATCATTAGTCATCAGGCAAACAGAAATCAAAACCACAATGAGATAGCACTTCACACTCACTAGAATGGCTAGAATCAAGAATTCAGATAATAATGGCCAATAAAGTACAATAAAAGATGCTCAGCATTATTAGTCATTTGGGAAATACAAATCAAAACCACAATGAGATACCATTCAATAACCACTGGGATGGCTATAATAATTTTAAAAACTTAAAATAACAAAGTTGGCAAGGATGTAGAGAAACTGGAACTTTTGTGTATTACGGGTAACAATGTAAAATGGTGCAGCGACTCTGGAAAACAGTATGATGGTTCCTCGAATGACCCTGAAATTCCACTCCTAAGTATCAACCTAAAAGAATTGAAAACAGGCACTCAAACAAGTACATGTGTATGCACATTCACAACAGCACTGTTGCCTATAGCCAAAGGGTAGAAATAGCCCAAATATCCATCAATGGATGAATGGATAAATTATGGTACATATGACAGAATATCATTCAGCCACAGAAAAGAAGTATATATACATGCTACAACATGGATAAAGTTCAAAAACATTATCCCAAGAAGCCATACACCAAAGGTCACATATTGTATCATTCCACTTATATAAACTATCAAGAACAGATAAATCCATAGAGGCAGAATGCAAATTGCTGGTTGCCAGGTGCTGTGGGAAGGAGAATGGGGAGAAACTACTTAATGGGCAAGGAGTTTTACTTTGCAGGGCTGGAAACATTCTGAAAGTAGATAGAGGTGGTGAGTATGCAACACTGCGAATGTACTAAATGCCACTGAATTGTTCACTTTAAAATGGTTAATTTTGTACTATGTGAATTTAATCTCAAGTTATTTAAACAAATTTAAATAATTTAATAAAAGGTGCTGAAATTAAAACCTTTATATATTTCTGATGGGAATGTAAATGGTACAGTACTTTGGAAAACAGTCTGGCAGTTCCTCAAATGGTTAAAACATAGAGTTAGTATATGACCCAGCAATCCATTCCTAAGTACACACCCTAGAGAAATGAAAACATATGTCTACACAAAAACTTGTACACAAATGCTAACAGCAGTGTTATACATAATAGCCACAAAGTAGAAACAACCCAGATATCCATCAACTGATAAATGGATAATACTGTCAAATATCTATACAACGGAATAGTATGTTCTAAAATTGTGATGATGATTGCACATATCTGTGAATATACTAAGACCCATTAAGTTGTACATTTTAAATGGATGAATGATATGGTATATAAATTGTCTCAGTAAAGCTGTTGAAAATATTCTGAGTAATGAAGCAGTATCTTTGCTTTTTCAGTTCCAAATGGCACTCACCTTTGCCATCACGTAAATGGCACACATTAATAACTGGTCCAGATGTCTGTCCATCATAAGTTCAGGACACTGAATTATGGAGAATTCAAAGCAGGTCCAGATTTTTTTCCGCAGTTCATCTGAAATATCTAGTTTAGCACAAAGATCCCGGAGGCGGACACCTGCTAAGTGGTAAACCTAGTAGATAAACAAAACCATTTCAAACTTTGTTTAACACTTTTATGGCCCAAGCTCATGCTCTGGGTAAGGATACATGAAAAATTACCTTTCTAAAGAAAAGCGATAAAGAGCTGGTCTTCCTGGGTCTAATGTTGCTGCTGGTTAAAGGCTGGCCTTGTTTCTGCTGTTGGCCACCTGGGGAAATCTGTTGAATGGCCACTTGACCAGGGACTTGCAAAGTTGTTCCTGTCACCTGTTGAGAGCTCAGGCTTCCAGCCAGGGCCTGAGCACTGAGGGGCTGGATGGAGCCAGTCACAGCTTGTGCCTGTCCCCCAACATTGACTTGGACCGGGAAGAATGTAATCCCTCCATTTTCATTGGCAATACCTACAGTTTGTTATAGAGGAAAAAGCATGAAGAGAATGTTGATAGTACAAGGTTCTCCAGGCAGAGGTTTCCAATTTCTCCCCTCCCAATCCCCCTCTCCCCATCTCTCTTCTGTCCCATATTGTGTCACTCCAGCCAAATCTCAGGTAACTTTCCAATAAATACCACCGAGAAAGAACTCAATATCCATCTCTGTTTTCCTTACCTTGTACAGGAATGGTTACTGTTTGTCCATTGTTGGCTGTGACAGTGGCGGTTGCCATGGTGACCAAAGTCTGTCCAGGAACTGGTGTGACAGAAACAGCTTCCCCAGATACATTCTGCACAGGGACAGCATTGACTAGGGGCTGTGGGGGAATGCGCCCAGGTGTCCCTCCATCAGAGGGACTATCATTCTCAACAAACAGCCGCCTTCTGGTAGTGCTGGCTGTTGGGGAGCTGTACCTGTCATATAGTGTGGTTGGTGAGGTTATGCCTAGGGTCAAAACAAATCAAACAAATCATTTAACTCAAGGAGACTGACATATGGCTTCCATCCAAGCTGTTATGTTAAAAAAATAACCAGTGTTTGAAATATTTCATAATTTAAAAAGCAAACAAAAATTACAGAAGTGATATCATACCTACATTCCACTACGGAAAACTCAACACTATTGAGAGCAAAATTTTAAAAAGGAATTTTCTGTCTGGCAGTGCTCCCTTTTCTACTCCCCCTTCCCCTAAATCAAACTAGGCTCTGTCCTCTACCATTACAGAGCCTTCATGATTTAGGGGCAATTTAAGGGCTTATTCTAATTTTCAATAATATTTTTGATTATATTTAATTTCTAACACTCATGTAAGATGTGATTTCACTGTAAAGCCACTACTTGATCAGGGGAGATGGTGGTCGTATGTTATGTCATCTAGGAGCAACCCTTCCTCCAGTTTTGTAAATGTTCATCTTTTTCCACATATAGAAAATGATTAAAATTCAGTAATATTCTTCAGCAAGGTGAACATAACATGGTTTAGACTTAATTAAGCATACTTTATTATTTTTTTAAATAGTGCTATTGAGATATAGTTCACATACTATACATTTTACCCATTTAAACTGTAGAATTCAATGGGTTTGGCATATTATTAATTTTTTAAATTATGGTAAAATATATAACAAAATTTGCCATTCTAACCATTTTAAAGTGTACTGTTCAGGGGCATTAAACACATTCACAATGTTGGGCAACAGTCACCACTATTTCTAAAATTTTTTCATCACCCAGAACAGAAACTCTATAGCAATTATGAATCGGTCTATTTTAAAGTATTCACGCCAATGTCTGAATTTGTGAGAAGCATTCATTTCTCTCTTCTATGTCTACCTATAAAAACTGCATTTGTATGTTTTAAAATTTAAAAACCTATGTAGGGAGGTCATAAGAGGCACTGACAGGAATACATCCTAATAGACTATGGCTTAACATTTTTTAATGATATAAAAGAAAATAAACTTACAAGATTTGTATTTGGTACAAAGCTGCAGAATCAAAAAGAATACATTAAGATCATTTTCTTATAAAGTGCCAAGAGACCTCAGGAAAATGGAGAAGTGGTAAATACAGATTAAAGTCCTAATCTGTAGATTAGGAAAGGTTTAACCTCCACAGAAATAGACTGAGAAAGACCAGACGATAGATCTGTGGATGGGTCTGAGTGGATAATAAGCAGAAAAATAGTTAAGCCATTATGACACCTCCCTCAAAAATGAAGACATTTTCATCTTTCTCATCCATATTTATTGAGTATACACTAACTGAGAGTGATCCTTGACTTTAAAATTGATCTTTCTTCTATAGCCAGTGCCTATGAATCACATTATAAAACTGATCTAGAAACAAGAATGTTCTAACGGCATCCCAAGATTTAGAACTCTCTGGATTTTCAGAATTGCTCGTTTAAAAAATAGTTATATTTCACATATGTAAACTTAAACCTTACACCTGGCAGATCTAAGGAGCTGCCTAAAATGTAAACCAGATGCAAAGCAAAACTGTGCTTTTCTATACTTCTTGGGCCAGCAACAGTGTCACATTAGCCAGGGTAGCACATCTCAACTGAGAGAGTCAAAGCTGAACATGCTCAGTCCTCTTAACTCACTGGCTTGTCTGTACCTAACTGGATCAAGTAGCTCTATCTTTAAGATGACTTTTCTACTTCTCCTGGTTTTAAAAGTAATAACATACTTGCCTAAAAAAATTTACAGATATTACTGGGAATTCTATCACCCAACAATAATCATTCTTAATAGTTTAGTTTTTCCATTTCCACCCTTTTGTATGCTTATAGATAAACATATACTTTAAAAATAAATTTATAGTATTCTACCCTTTTTTTTGAGACAGGGTCTCACTCTATCTCCTAGGCTAGAGTGCAGTGGCGTCATCATAGCTCACCGCAACCTTAAACTCCTGAGCTCAAGCAATCCTCCTGCTTCACCCTCCCAAGTAGCTAGGACTACAGGCACACCACCACGCCTGGCTAATTTTTCTATTTTTTGTAGAGACAGGGTCTCCCTCTTGCTCAGGCTGGTCTCGAACTCCTAGCCTCAAGTGATCCACCTCAGCTCCCCAAAGTGCTAGGATTACAGGCGTGAGCCACTGTGCCCAGCCTGCATTCTATCCTTTTCAAAAGATACTTGTTACATCATATATTTTTCCTGTGTTCTTAAATATTCGTTAAAAGCATTTCTTTTAGGTGATCCATGTGGGGCTAAAATGCACAATGTATTTTCTTCTATATATACTATTAACTACATGTGTAGGTTTGGATGCAATTTAAATCTCCAGATATTAGGCCCCAAAATATTCCCCTTATTTTAAACTTACTCCTTCCAAGTCCTCCAGTATCAGCACGAACTTCACTGACCCTTCTGGGAGTCAAAGGGGAGCCACCAATACAAATTTCATCTGCTCTTTCCAGATTCTGAGGTGGCATGACCTACAAAGAATTGTTTACTCAGAATGGTAATATCCAAAAAAGCATTTTGATTAAACATAGAATAATCATCTAAGGCAAAAGAAAAAACTATCTTGACTCATCAATTATTCCACTAAATAAAATCAGCTATCTTTCCCATTTTCGTATTAAAGTTAAAAAAAAATTGGCAGTCTTTAAAAATTCAAAACCTGGTAATTGGATACTAAATATGGATCAACCTTTGTTACTGATTTGGACAGTTAGAATATCAACTACTCTAAGGGACAGCAACTTGATCAGGAAATCAAGAAAGAACACTGAAATTTTACTCTGTCACTGAAACCCTGGGGCCATGACAAATTATTTCTGACTCTTGTTTCTTCTTTGATATGGGGCCATCGTACCACCTTAAACCCAACTGCAACCCTCCCACCTCCCAACAGGAAGACACTACATTTACTTGCTTTCTGTGAAAGGATATTACAAATACACTAGATACTGATGTACTTTTCTTATAAAAAGACGTTAAGATATTTTCACAAACCTCTTCACATGTAGGAACTCTGTTTTCATTGTCTCTAATTCTTTCCCAGAGTGGGGACTCTGGTTTCCATGCCAAATGATCTAAGATCTGTTCTTCAATCTGATTGAGGTGTTTTACTACCTCTCTACAAAGGCCATCTTCTGCTCTAATAAATACTTCTATCACCTGAAATAAAGAAAAATGCCCTGGTTCATTTAATAATAATTAGTAAATGTTTATAAATATTTAGCAAAATTATCAAAAATTACAAGCTGAAATATTATTTTGAAACAGCCACTCTTCCTTCACTGTCTTTATAAATAATTATTGTTTAAACTAGATGTATGAATTATATAAAATCTTTTGTATAGTGATGTATTTCAAAAAGTTTTAAATGAAAAAACATGCCTTTTTTTATTGGTTAAAAAACATCATTCTTAAAATTTCAAATAAAAAATCTATAAACATTCAACCTATGCCACTATAAAAATTAGTTTTGACTATCATGAAAGTTAAGAAAAACTCATAAGCTAAGTCAGTATCAAGAAGGAAACAGCTACCAAATCAATACTTTAACCCTGTGCCTCTCTATAACATGTGAAATAGAATTTTTATTTTTTTCTGGAAGACTTTTTCAATGTTATTTAATTTTTATAAACTAAAAAAAGAAGGCTGCTATACAAGATTAGCTAGTGATATGTGCTACTTTTTTTTTTAAGCCTTCTTAGCTCATAAAATCATAGTATTTTAAAAGCCTTTATTAGATAAATGGAGTAATCAAATGAAACTTTTACCCTAAATAGATCTTTCATATAATATGAAAATAATTTATATGTCTTAATATTCTATTTCTTCTCTGCTCCCCAAATAGAGATTATTAAATATATAATTAAAAATGATAAAGGTACTTAGATGTTAACTTGAACCAAATAACTAACAACAGGAAGTTGGTCTCATCTATAGTTTCCTCGTTATTTTTAAAAATACCTTATAAAAATGATAAAGTGGCACATCAAATATTTCAGTAATAAATGGAAAATTCCCAGGAGGCTTATAAGAAAAAGAGACGACCTCAAGGCAGCAGGCCAAGAGTGATCTGTGGAATGCATCTTGTTCCAGAATACCCTGTAAAATAAAGTTATTAGCATTTAGAAACATTAGTCTATTCTTAAAAAGCATTTCATACCCAGTCAAGTTAAATGAAAATACCAAAGAAAGTCTTATTTTCTGAGTGAAATGTGCTTATTTTCTTAACAAAACTTCACTTACTGTATAAATAAGCCCATTTTCTAGTTAAGAAAAAATATTTTAAAAAAGTATAAGACTTAAAAACCTTACATACTATGAAATATATCTAATAAAAGAGATTACATCCCTAACCAAAACACACACATTACCCTGATGCTTAAAGAATAATGATGTGGAAAGATGTTTCAAAACAGTATTTATAGTAAGAGGCCACTGTCATAAAAAGATAGATTAAAGGGAGGCAGGCAGGTGACTGACCAGATGACCACGTACCCAAAGTCAACATGTTTATCACAGGGTGACATAATCACAGATCATTTTTATTTTCTTCTTTTTGCTTATAATTTTCCAAAGTTAAATATAAACATTTATTATTCTTTAATTAAATAGTTACTCCGGTACCAAACGCATAGGCTCAAAAGAAAAGAAAATTTGGATTTCATCAAAATTTAGAAATTTTGTGCATGAAAGGAGACTGAATAGAGTAAAATGATAACCCACAGAATGGGAGAAAACATTGACAAATTGTATATCTGATAAAAGATTAGTATTCAAATGCACAAAGAACTCCTACAACTTGTCAACAAAAAAGCAAATAGCCCAAATAAAAAAGGACCTGAATAAACATTTCTTTAAAGAAGATATACAAAGGGCCAACGAGCACATGAAAAGATATTCAACATCATAGTCATTAGGAAAATGCAAATCGAAAGCATCTGGAGATACCAACTTCATACCCATCAGGATGGATGTTATCAAAAAAATGAAAATTAAATGTTTTGAGGGTGTGGAGAAATTGAAACCCTTATGCATTGCTGGTGGGAATGTAAAATGGTATGGCAGTTCCTCAAAAAGTTAAACATAAAATTGCCATATGTTCCAGCAATTCCACTTCTAGGTATGAGGAACTCGAAAGAACTAAAAGCAGGAACTCAGATACTTGTGCACCAATGTTCATAGCAGCATTATCCACAGTAGCCAAATGGCAGAAACAACCCAAATGTTCATCAACAGATGAATGAATAAACGAAATGTAGTACATACACAATGAAATATTATTCAGCCTTAAAAAGGAATGAAATTCTCATACCTGCTGCAACATGGATGAACCCTGAAAACATCATGCTAAATGAAGTAAGCCAGACACAAAAGGACAAATATCGTATGATTCCATCATATGAGCTATCTACAGCAGGGAAATTCATAGAGACAAAGTAGAATAGAGGGTAACAGGGGCTACAGAGAGGGGTGAATGGGGAGTTAGTGTTTAATGGGTACAGACTTCCAGTTTGGGATGGTGAAAAAGCTCTGGAGATGGATATATTAATGGTTGTGATTACACAACACTGTGACTGTACTTCATTAATGCCACTAAATTATAAACTTAAAAGTGGCTAAAGGGTGACTGTTATGAATATTTTACCACAATTAAAAAAAAGGGTTTTAAATTAAGTTACTTAGATGAGTATACAGCTATCCACTTAATATTAACCCCTAAACTATATTTTTTATACCCTTCTGTATGTGTTCACACACAAAAAAAATTAAGTCATAAAACAGCTCTTTAAGTTCATACAGCCATATACAGCCATTTTTTAATATATAAAAAAATGTAAACAGTTATAAGGAATTAGAATATTGGTAAGTTTTACAATTTTCTTTGAAATGTTATTTTAAAAATTAGCTTTTTAAAAAATTACCTTTATTGGTGCTATTAAACATAAATATCATTTATAGAAAAATCAATTCATATTTCTTAACCAGTAAAATCTAAGAAAAATAATTTTCTTAGCCAAAGAGGAATGGTTGAGTATTTATGTTAAAATCCCATCCAGGCTGCGCACAGTGGCTCGTGCCTATAATTCCAGCACTTTGGGAGGCCGAGGTGGGAAGATCACTTGAGACCAGGAATTTGAGACCAGTTTGGGCAACATTATCAAGATCCCATCTCTAATAAAATTTTTTAAAGTTAGCCAGGCATGATAGCACAACCTGTAGTCCTAGCTGTTTGGGAGGCTGAGGTGGGAGGACGGCTTGAGCCCAGGAATTGGAGGTTACAGTGAGCTATGATCACACCACTACACATCAGCCTGGGCAACAGAGTGAAACCCCATCTCTTAAAAATAAAAAAAATAATGTCCTAACCAGTCAATACTCAATTTATTCTGGCTATACAGGGCTTGAATAAAAATTCTACGTTATTTAGCAACATAATGTTAAGCCTGAATCTTTGAATCCTTGACTATAGAGTCTTCCCACCCTCAGAAGTTGTACGTGATCACCCTTGGCCTGCTGAAGCAGGGGACTGAAGGTGAGAGGGCTCAGAACACAAGTTTCCTTAGGTGCCAATTTTATTCCCTAAAAGCCATATATTATTTCTTCAATAAAGCCTTTTTTTTGGTGGGTGGGGTAGGAAGGAAACTATGTTTTATTGTGCTGAGCAATACATTGGATATTTTACTCACAGATAAATCCATGTCTCCCAGTCTTTTTTGTTCCTGCTCAATAACAGATTCTAATACTTTATAGTAAAGCATCTCTGCAAAACGAAAATATTTGCTGGTAACTTCTGTAGAAATAATTAAACACAAAAAGGACACAAAAAAGAAAATAAACACTGTGGGAAATGAAGTGCATCCCCCCCTCCACCCACAAAATAAAATTTAAAAACCAACCCACACTTCAGACATATACATTTCTTACAATTGGTGTTTTAATTATTCCTAAGATACCTTAATTTTCTTTATAACAACATTCAAATTTTTCTAAAACTGTGAAATGAAATTTGCATTTAAAGAACCATAATACCATTCATTAAGATTCACACCCCCCTTTTTTTCCCCTATATATTTGAACAAAACAGCTCTATGCTAAGAAATATATAATTGGTTTACTATTCCACACCCACTTAGTTCTAGTTCCTGAGATCAAACAACTCCTAGGCCAGGTTTGGGCATATAATAGCTATATCTTCTGTTACTGTTTTTAATATATTGAAGCATCACTATACTTCTATTTAATTTCCAGTTTTCAAATGAAAACTAAAGATCTGCAAATAAAAATGCATCAGAAGTCCTACATGATAAAGACATCATCCTAAAATTTCTCTCTTACTGAGAATGGCTCAGAAATCACTTGGTTGGCAGAAAAATTGGGCAGGTGTATTCTAGCCTTCGGTCTAAAGGCATAAATCCTTTCCTCATATTTCTGACTCAGTTAACAAGAAAGGACTCCATATAGTTAAACTTCAAAGATGAGAGCAGTATAGAGAGACAATATTAAACTTTACCTTTAGCACAATTACTGAAATCCTCATCTGGCTGGTAATGCTGAGAATATATTTCATACATTTCTTTCAATCTGTTAGCAATAGCCTGAGTTGGATCTCTGGAACATGTCCTAAAAAAAAATAAAAAGAAATTATCTAATTTAAAGGTCTTGCCAATGCCGGGCATGCCAGCTTGTGCCTTTAATCATAGCACTTTGGGAGGCCAAGGCAGGAGGATCATTTGAGGTCAGGAGTTGAGCAAGAGTGAGACCCCATCTCTACAAAAAAAAAAAAATAGAAAAATTAGCCAGGCGCAGTGGTGTGTGCCTGTAGTCCCAGCTACTTGGGAGGCTGAGGCAGGAGGATCACTCGAGCCAAGGAGTATGAGGTTGCAGTGAGCTATAATGACACCACTGCACTCACTCTAGCCCAGGCAAAAGAGTGAGACCCTATCTTAAAAAAAAAAAAAAAAAAAAAAAAATAACCTTGAACAGAAACTATACACTTCCCGAATTAATCCAAGAGGTCCCATAATTCCTTATCAAAGGTGGTGGTATTTACTAATTTGAGTAAAAAAAAAAAAAATTTCTTACGTGGGATTGTACCTTTTACTGCAGTAAGTTTAGCAAACTTGGTCTGGGCCCATTTGATGTCTGCGACTGGCCTCCACTCACCCTATACATCCCCAATTACTGATGACAAACAAACTTGTCCTCACCTGTTTCCCTAGAGGGCAGTACAATTCCCATTAAGAACTTCTGGAAGAAAACAGAATGAAGGGGTATATAACCTACACTGCAGACTAATATAAACTATTACTGACATTCTACATTTTTCTCCCCAAAACAAGGTTTATTTCATTCATTTTCTTTATTAGAAAACAATATATGTTCAAAGCAGAAGCATTATACAAATTATTACCATATAGCCTTTTTTGTAACAATTATGCTTTTATCTTGATCACAGATACACATATTCCTTGTAAAAAATGAAGCAACTTTAAAAAATTATAAAGAAAATAAAAATCAGTTATAATCCTGTTATAGATAACTACTGAATATCATATGGCAGAATCTTATTTATGAACACACACACCTTTTTACACACCTTTGCTTTTACCTAGTATCTACTGGCAATATTTAACCTCACTCATGGTACTTAAGATTAGAGAAGCTGTTATGCCTGGTTAGAAATTGTAAAGAGATCTGGAAGATACAGAGATTAAGACAGGCTTCTAAAATGTATTTATCAAATGCATCTAAATTCAAGGCAAACAAGGTCCACCTGAAGAACATGAGTTAGGAAGAGGACATGTAGACTTAGCTTGTTGACAGTAAATCACAATCAAGTTTGTGAATAAAGTAGACGTCATGAAAATTTAAAGGAAAAGTTGTCAGCCTTGGCATTTAATAAGCCCAACTATGAGTGGAAAATTACTTATGTGTGTATATAGGGTCTTCTTGATGCCAAATCACCAGAAATTAAATGGGGTCCTATAGGGTCTATGTCATCAAATTATACAGTTTTAGAACTAGGAGGGACCTTGGACCTGATTTTTCAAATCAGCTCACCACAAAGGTTATGCACGAGATGAGATTCATTCTACCCTGCTTTTCACTAAAACTGACTGATAATACTACCAGTCTCAGGCAGATCAAAGGAACTAAAGGCAGTTAACTTCTTTTCAGGCAAAGGATGTCTCATAGAGCTTACAAAAGTCATAGTGGTTTTGTCTTGCTTTATGAACATGTGGAATGCTGCCAATCTTTGCAAATCTGACCCACCCTTCAGAACTTTACTCAGGTTCAATCCTTTTCACGAAGACCTTTGACTGCCCCCTGCCCACGCTAAAATCTTAACATAGAACAGTTGGCAATAAGACAGTTTGCTGCTTTATTCTACAGCAGCAGTCCCCAAGCTTTTTGGCACCAGGGACCGGTTTCATGGAAGACAATTTTTCCACAGACAGAGGGTGGAGAGGGACGGAGCTCAGGCGGTGATGCGAGTGATGGGGAGCAGAGAGACTGTAAATACAGCTGAAGCTTTGCTGGCTCACCCACTACTCTCTGCTCTGCGGCCCCCAGTTCCTAAGTTTCACGGAAGACAATTTTTCCATGGACTGGGGGCCGGGAGTGGGGGATGGTGGGCAGAGCTTAGGCTGAGCACAGCCCAGCTCCTAACAGGCCCATGGACTGATACTGGGCATGGCCCAGGATTTGGAGACCGTAGTTCTATAGTATCTACTGATGTTAGTTAATATCTTCTGTATTACATGAAAGAAATCTGAGGAAACATGGTCTTCTATTTATACATCTTCTATTGCTAGGTCCTCTATGGACTAACGACCGGACTAAGCATGCAATTGATATAAAATTATTAATGGGTGAATTAAGGCACTAATAGTGAAAAATTAACATAAGAAATTGGAAAACAATCAACAACCAAATATTGGCAGGCAGACAGGGCTCAAACTAACCTGAGAATCTGTTCCAGTCTCTCACTTGGTGCATTCCTGAGGCCTGTCAGCATGGTGTGAAGACGACTCAAGCTATGTGTAGCTGTAGAAACTGGGGTCACACAAGGGCTGTTCTCCTTAACGTACCTCACACCAGTAAGTGGTGTGGAGATTCTAAGTGCTTTAGACTAAAGAAAAAAATTAAGTGAATTTAAAAAAGAAAAACATTATTTTAGGTCAGAAAGACTTTAAATCACTTCACAAATGGGAATTTAAGCCAATCAAATTTTATCATTACATGTCGATAAACTTTAGTGACTCAAATGTCACCGTTCCTGGAATTTAAACATAACACCACTAGGAGCCACTCCTATCTGTGTGAAGATGTGTGAAAGGACAATTGCATTTAGCTAACTAAAAGTTTGTCTCCTAAAAGTTAAACCTTTAAGATAAGGTATAGCTCCTTATTATTCCCCCTTTAAAACTTAAGCTTGAAGGCAAAGATAAGCATCATACTCACTTGAAAAAATTAAGAATATCATTCTCATCTCTGAGAAATGGAATTTCACAGCTCTCATCTACTGCTATTTTTGCAAACACTCAAAAGATTGACACCAGAAAACTGTGAATTACATCTGGCCCAAATAAATACATGATTTAACAGAAGCCTGTCTACATCCTCAAATGTGCTTCAGAGAGCGAGCATAAAACAAACATTCCTGAAAAAGGCAACCTGAACAGCCTTCATCAGTCTTCTTGCCCCTCCTCTACCTTTTGTTACTAGAATCTATCAGTTTTTTCCCCTTAAAGTGGACAGATATAAGAGATGAGTTAAAGTCAACATTCTTAAATATAAATATGAAAAAGATATGTGTCAAAGAATTTAAGCATGAGTACATATGCTAGTAAAACATCTTTTCTCATTTCTCAAACAAACTATGAAAGGTTAAGACAGCTTAATGTTTTAATATTCAAGATAAACCAAATTTCCCTATATATTAAAGGTGCTTATTCTAGAGATAGTTTTAAAAACACCTAGCAAAATTTTCACCTGGCAACAGAACAAACTATTCAAGTTTCACAAGATACAGACAAGCACAGAAATTCATTATATACAAAAATAAATCTGTATGCTTTCTTCATGTTCTAAACAGCAATAGAGCTCTAGACCTTTGTTTCATAGAAATCCATTCTATAATTTTTTTAAGTCAATAAAATGATCTGGGTAGATTAACTGCATTCAAAAGGTGCTCCCTGACTTAGAAGGTTTCTTGCAGCCAACGTCTTCACTGTATACGAAGCAGCGCCTACGCTGAGGGAAAGCCATCTCGTGCACGTACAGGAGAATCAACAGCAGCAGCAGGTCACCACATCACTCACAGGTAGCAGTGGTTTCAGAAGAAACTAGATGTGACAACCACAAACAGCTTCCTGCCCAGAGTCCTTAGAGTCAGCGTGGTGCTTCTTGGTAGCCTCGTTCAAGTGGTTAGCGTAAAGCTTCCTGTGCATTCTGATCAAGAGGAGTCTGTCTTTAACTCAGGTATAAATGTTAAGTTGATATTTTTAAAATATTAGGATGTTCCTTTTCCAAGCAAAGACTATAAAATTTGGAGTGTCTCGGAGCTCTGTCCTTAGACCTCTTTTAATTCTCTATCAGTTCATACTGTCAGTAATCTCTCTTCATTCCATGGCTTTAAAAGCCATCTGTATCCTGACCCCGAACACATACACACAACCCTGGCCTCTGCTGTGATCTCCCCTCTTGAATACCCACACTGCCAACTCAGCTTCGCTACTAGCACGCCTAAAAGACATCTCAAATCTAACATGCTGATAGCCCTAACAGCTGATTTCTCCATAGACTTGCTCTGGAGACACTTGTCAAAAGCTTTGTGTTTTCTTTGAATACCACATAACAGAAGGGAAATTCAGTCTCCATGATCCTAAGTGCTTGCTTGAAATAACACCACGTGGTTCTGAAACTCAGTTTAAGAGAATTTTCTTAAAGAATGTAGATTCTCAGTTTCTCCAGTTTCTTAAATGAAGGCCCCAGTTCAGGTCAATTAACATTTTCTAAATGCCTACTCTTTTTGTTATATATACAGCTATATATTACTGGCTGATGTTTTCAAAACCAACAATTATTAGCATGATACATTTGTTTAAATTTATATTAATTTCTCTTTTTCTCACACCTAACTAAACCTTTGAAATTACATTAACAAAAAGTAAATCAATAAACGTAGAGATAACTCTTTCAATTAAAAGAATGATGGGAATTTTCTTTTTCATATTGGAAGCAAGTAAAACATGCACGCAGAATTACCAAAATAAAACAGGACCCCTAGCTTCCCTGCTCCTGTATTTCCACAATTCCAGCATGGCTCGACTCACCTTGTCGAAATGCTGCTGTAAGATGTTTTTCATCTGTACCCTTTCGGCAGTCTCTGTTCCTGAACCAGTGTTCAGACACCTTGAGAGAGTCCCAATTTCCTCCTCTGCATCCTCTCCAAGAAATATCCGTTCATCTAAATTCCCAACAGATAAAACATACTCCTCATAGGCCTTATTGATGGCTTTACTATAAGAAAAAAAGATACAGACAAAATGTACTCTCTTACAGAACTGCCATTTCAGGCCACTTCAATTATTTCATTTTGTTATTTGCTAAAAGTTCTAATAATTTTTTGAAAGTTAAATTTTAGTGGGATCACAGTTAATTATAAAACCTGAAGGGTATAAATCGTAAGCTTGCTACGCTACGCTCATCCAGTACCCAGTGCATATATTTTGCTGACAGTGTTTCGCCTGCCTGGTAGGTGCAGCTTCTGGTGAGAAGCTTAACTATCTGTCCTGGCTGCTCCAGACACCTCTGAACAACTCCTACACATCATCATTTTTCACCTGTATAGTTCCAAAAGAATTTCTTTATTTCAAAATTTATAATCCAGAAGTTTAATAAAACTTTAAACAGTCATACATTTTCAATTTAAAAACATATGCTTATAGTAGTAGTCAACAGAATTTTTATTGCTTCTCTATATTCTCCCATAAAACACACTCTGAATTTCCAGAGTACAAACAATAAAAGCACTAAAGTCTGAGGTTTCCTAAGTATACAATTTAAAATATTAAAACAGTTTCATAACAGAAGTACTCACAAACTCTCTCCAAAGTTCCCAGGTTCCAGAAACCCAGTAAGATTTTCTTCTTTTCCCTTAAGGAGCTATGACGAAAGAAGAGATCCTTAAGTCATCATATTAAATCAAGTTTTTCTTTCTGCAGAAAACATTTTCACATTATTTCTTTGCTGCTTACAAACCTTTTTTTCATAAAGTTTCCTAATATAGGGTTTCCAGAAATGTTCCTTTATTCCCTTTGCTTCCAAAACTAGGCCGTCATGTAAGGAACAAAGTTTCTCAATGACACAGGCTGGGTCAGAGGAAGGTTTAGACTCCTTAGCATGAAAATCTTCAGATAGGCCTATGATGCGTAGAATCGCAAAATGGAGACATCGGTCAGCACTCAGTAAACCAAATTGTATATCACTAAACTATAATAAACTAAAATATAAATAATATATTATAATCAGCATAAGTTAGCATATGAATATACAGGAACTAGTGTATATTGGCCTAATTTGACTCTATTTAAATATACTTCAAAAAATGGCAAATAGAGGTAAAGTGTATCATTACTCAAAAGATTTTTGTTATTCAGTGTTCTATCTAGAGATGGTTTAAGGGGAAACTAAAAAATTAAATTTTAGTATATTGCTCTAAGATCTAAAAATCACAAAAATCACAAAAAATAACTTTGCTAATAAGCCTTACATTCAAACAAAAACACCACTTCTAAAAAATTGTGCTGTTTAAAGATTATATGCTTCGATTTAATTATAGTAGATATATTTATCACATTAATTTTTAGTTTATTATTGCCCTAATCTCAGCACAAGAGAAAAGGAAATCAAAGAAACATAAAAGAGGGTATAAATGAACAGAAGCAGCTATATGGAAATATAAAAAGGAGTTAGGAAGGAAATGAGAAAAAGCACAGAAAAGAATATGAGGAACATTAAATTTACCAAACTAGGAGCAAACTGAAGTAACTATCTCCACTAACTTTACAAATCTACCTTTTAATGGCTGCAAAAATAGTTAGATAGAATGAACAATATCTGATAGCACAACAAAGTGACTATAATCAACAATAAATTAGAATCTACTTTAAAATAACTAAAAGAGTAGAAATGGAATGCTCCTAACATAAAATAATGATAAATGCCTGACACGATGGATACCCCAATTACCCTGAATTGATTAATTCACATTGTCTGCCTATATCAAAACATGACATGTACCCTATAAAGATATACAACTATTATGTACCCATAATAATTAAACATAAAAAAAAAGAAAAAAAATTACCTTGATAATCAAATAAACTGAAATTCTAACTGGAACCACCCCCAAATTGACAATTACCCAGAATCCTATTATGGTATTATTCAAATAGCAGCAGTATTATATATTAGCTCTGTAAATACTTTTTACTATTTGCTTTACAAATCACAATTTGGGCTCTTAACTGTATATCATTCATAGAAATTAGATACCTAAAGGCCTACTAAATGTAATGCCAAAATAATTATCATTTCCATACATATGTTAGTTTAGAAGATGAAAGTTCATTTTACTTATTTGAGACCATAACTACTCTTTTGTAGCAAAAATTTGAAATGAAAATTCTTTCAGTAAATCCTTTTAGACCTCCTGTAGCATGTCAGGCACAAAGCTTGCCAACATAGAAAACCACTATCAGCTTTAATGTCATCTTTGCTACTTTGAATTTC